ACAAAAACACAAAATTACAAAAACAAACTAAAATAAAATAAATAAATAAATAAAATAAAAAAAACAATTTTAAATATTTTCAAAAAACAAACTGTACTGAAATTTTCAAAAATCGAATAAAAATGTAATAAAAAAATGACAAAAACAATGAAATTATTATTAAATTACTAAAATTAAAATTAATTAATAAAATTACTAAAATTAAAACAGAAAAAAAAAATATATAAATAAAAATATTAAAACTATAATGGTATATTTTTAAAATTACATAGACATTTTAAAAAACTCAAACAACAAATAATAAAAATGACAAAAAAACACAACAAAATTACTAAAAGTAACTAAAATTAAAATGAAAACAGAAAACCAAAATAAAATGTAATTCAAATCTAGTTCAAAATAAAACAAACTATAATAGTATATCAATGATACCAAAATAACACTGACCAGTAGTACTGAACGATTACCACGTTCATGCACCATGCTATTTACATGATACACCATGGTTTCTTCAGGGGGAAAAAATGGTAATACAATATACTGTATATATATATTATTATTATTTTTATTTTTTTTAACAAAAGCACATTATTATAACCAAAACAAAAACTGCAGACTTTTCACATTTTGAATTTGGGAGAATCTGTGAGAAAATCACTGGAGCTCGGTGAGATGGATTTAAACATGGTAAAATGTTTAAATCAATTAAATGAATATCTGAAGGCATACAATTTAATAAACAAACATGCTGAATGACTGAGACTCCAGGTCTGAGGAGATTCAGCAGATCCAGATCCTGTTTGTGCTTGAAGACGGTCAGATGAGCTGCTGATCTTCACACACACACACAAACACTCACTCACACACAAACACTCACTCACACACAAACACTCACTCACACACAAACACTCACTCACACACAAACACTCACTCACACACAAACACTCACTCACACACAAACACTCACTCACACACAAACACTCACTCACACACAAACACTCACTCACACACAAACACTCACTCACACACAAACACTCACTCACACACAAACACTCACTCACACACAAACACTCACTCACACACAAACACTCACTCACACACAAACACTCACTCACACACAAACACTCACTCACACACAAACACTCACTCACACACAAACACTCACTCACACACAAACACTCACTCACACACAAACACTCACTCACACACAAACACTCACTCACACACAAACACTCACTCACACACAAACACTCACTCACACACAAACACTCACTCACACACAAACACTCACTCACACACAAACACTCACTCACACACAAACACTCACTCACACACAAACACTCACTCACACACAAACACTCACTCACACACAAACACTCACTCACACACAAACACTCACTCACACACAAACACTCACTCACACACAAACACTCACTCACACACAAACACTCACTCACACACAAACACTCACTCACACACAAACACTCACTCACACACAAACACTCACTCACACACAAACACTCACTCACACACAAACACTCACTCACACACAAACACTCACTCACACACAAACACTCACTCACACACAAACACTCACTCACACACAAACACTCACTCACACACAAACACTCACTCACACACAAACACTCACTCACACACAAACACTCACTCACACACAAACACTCACTCACACACAAACACTCACTCACACACAAACACTCACTCACACACAAACACTCACTCACACACAAACACTCACTCACACACAAACACTCACTCACACACAAACACTCACTCACACACAAACACTCACTCACACACAAACACTCACTCACACACAAACACTCACTCACACACAAACACTCACTCACACACAAACACTCACTCACACACAAACACTCACTCACACACAAACACTCACTCACACACAAACACTCACTCACACACAAACACTCACTCACACACAAACACTCACTCACACACAAACACTCACTCACACACAAACACTCACTCACACACAAACACTCACTCACACACAAACACTCACTCACACACAAACACTCACTCACACACAAACACTCACTCACACACAAACACTCACTCACACACAAACACTCACTCACACACAAACACTCACTCACACACAAACACTCACTCACACACAAACACTCACTCACACACAAACACTCACTCACACACAAACACTCACTCACACACAAACACTCACTCACACACAAACACTCACTCACACACAAACACTCACTCACACACAAACACTCACTCACACACAAACACTCACTCACACACAAACACTCACTCACACACAAACACTCACTCACACACAAACACTCACTCACACACAAACACTCACTCACACACAAACACTCACTCACACACAAACACTCACTCACACACAAACACTCACTCACACACAAACACTCACTCACACACAAACACTCACTCACACACAAACACTCACTCACACACAAACACTCACTCACACACAAACACTCACTCACACACAAACACTCACTCACACACAAACACTCACTCACACACAAACACTCACTCACACACAAACACTCACTCACACACAAACACTCACTCACACACAAACACTCACTCACACACAAACACTCACTCACACACAAACACTCACTCACACACAAACACTCACTCACACACAAACACTCACTCACACACAAACACTCACTCACACACAAACACTCACTCACACACAAACACTCACTCACACACAAACACTCACTCACACACAAACACTCACTCACACACAAACACTCACTCACACACAAACACTCACTCACACACAAACACTCACTCACACACAAACACTCACTCACACACAAACACTCACTCACACACAAACACTCACTCACACACAAACACTCACTCACACACAAACACTCACTCACACACAAACACTCACTCACACACAAACACTCACTCACACACAAACACTCACTCACACACAAACACTCACTCACACACAAACACTCACTCACACACAAACACTCACTCACACACAAACACTCACTCACACACAAACACTCACTCACACACAAACACTCACTCACACACAAACACTCACTCACACACAAACACTCACTCACACACAAACACTCACTCACACACAAACACTCACTCACACACAAACACTCACTCACACACAAACACTCACTCACACACAAACACTCACTCACACACAAACACTCACTCACACACAAACACTCACTCACACACAAACACTCACTCACACACAAACACTCACTCACACACAAACACTCACTCACACACAAACACTCACTCACACACAAACACTCACTCACACACAAACACTCACTCACACACAAACACTCACTCACACACAAACACTCACTCACACACAAACACTCACTCACACACAAACACTCACTCACACACAAACACTCACTCACACACAAACACTCACTCACACACAAACACTCACTCACACACAAACACTCACTCACACACAAACACTCACTCACACACAAACACTCACTCACACACAAACACTCACTCACACACAAACACTCACTCACACACAAACACTCACTCACACACAAACACTCACTCACACACAAACACTCACTCACACACAAACACTCACTCACACACAAACACTCACTCACACACAAACACTCACTCACACACAAACACTCACTCACACACAAACACTCACTCACACACAAACACTCACTCACACACAAACACTCACTCACACACAAACACTCACTCACACACAAACACACACACACACACATACACACACTCACTCACTCACACACACACACACACACACTCACTGAACTCAAACGACAGCAGGAGTCGGTGAAGTAGAACTGTGTTTTTTAATTGACTCAAATCCCCCGTACAGTAAAAGATCAAGGCTGTAACTAAACTCTTCCTCCTACGACACCATAGAAAAATACCCTGCTGGTCTGAATGAGGCAAGCTATGGAGCAGAAGACGGGTAGATGAGAGAACTAACTAACCTCTCTATGCAAACTCACTCACACTCCAGGCCAATACATCCTCAAATATTCATAGGTTATGTAAAATCTATATGGTGGATATACCTCAAAAAAAAAAAACAGAACAACCCTATATATCGGTTTACATCCAAAACAAACTCCAAACCACAGGGTTACAGATTCACAAGAGCAAACGAAATCAACAACACAAGTCCTGCGTCTTCACATCTACATCTACATCACAGACCATCAGAGCTGTCCTGTGCCTAGCAGGACTTTAACATGACGCTCAACCGGACGAACAGTGTTTCGTTTCACACTTCTAAGTGTTCGCTGAGAGAAATAGAGGCTGTGACATTTCTAATGAAAGTGTAACGTGTCTAAATGAACTCGGATGCAAAAGAAACGACTAACTGAAGTCTGAAGAGGAGAATCGCACTAAACCGCTCAGGAACACACCTGACAGACGGCACAATTTACCCCAAAATAACTAGAAAGAAATAAGTAAATATACTTTGCATGCAGAAAATGAAGCCTATTTTTAGGACATTATGTTTTTTTGCATTGCAACATTATTGTTAATATTATTTAAATACACATTTATCCTAAAAGATTTAATGCAATTAAAAACCTAATCGCAAAACAGCATTTATGTCTTGTTTTTAAGTACAAATATCTAAACATTAACCAAATCAAGATACATTTGCTTGAAAAAAAAAATTTAATCAAATATAAAAATGCATCAAAATAAAAATTAGGTGACTTTATGCAAAAAAACAGAACAAATATCTGCCAAAGGGCTCAGAAAAAATGAAACATTTATTTATCATTATTATGTTTCTGTGGTAGATATTTTTTCTTGTTTTAAGTATAACGTATACATTTAAAAAAAAATTCAGATTTTTTTTTGTTTACATTTGACTTAATATCTTAAGTAATTTTGCTTTTGAAGTAAACGTATCTTGACTTAAGAATGTTTAGATATTTGTACTGAAGAACAAGTCAAAAATACTGATTAAAAAATCATTTTTTGCAGCGTAATTACAATATTACCTAATTAGCAGTATTTCTGCATCGTAGTTGCATGTGTACCATATTTATTTTATGCTTCTTTTTATACAAAATTACAGACATTTCCCTTGTACTGCAGTAAAATGAGTGTGTTTCAATAATGAGAATCGAATGAAAATCACGTCTGATGATAATGAGAATAGCAAACAAATCAGCAAAGACAAATGTCTAGATGAGTCACGATAATGAGAGCTGCAGGGAAATGTCACGATGCAAAAATCCTGTGGGCCAAAAAACGTTTTCTCCTCATGCAAAATGCAAAACAAAATGTCTTATTTCTTTCTATTGATTTTTAGAGTAAAATATAAGCTCCTGACACGTTTAGTGCAATTCAGTAGGTTGCAAATGCAAATAAATGCAGATCACAAATCAAATAATATTGATGTTCATGGTGCATAATGTTGTAAGGTGGAATAAACGGCATAGTAACGATAATGATTCTGCGGTGGTGTCACGGTCAGGCGTGTGTGTGTGTGTGTGTGTGTGTGTGTGTTAGGAGGCCGTGGATGTGTTGGGGCTCCAGCCCATCTGATAGGCTCGTTCCAGCGTCCGCTTACAGTCCTGCATCACTGTACTGAACACAATGTGTGGATACTGCAGCACCAGTCTCTCCACCGTCTCCTCGTTCACCTGCAACAACAAAACAAACACACATATTTGCTTTTCATTTGACTTCTTCGACTTGATGCATTGATTTGTCCTTAAAAGCATCACAAATGCACGATACGCCATTTGCATTGAAGAAATGATTCCCATACTAACGCGAGACATCTCTGAGAAATCTCATGCCGAGTTTACAGCGAGCGGCTGATGAAACGCAGACGTGTTGAGTGAGATAATCACCACACCTCCAAACCTTCATCATGTACAATGTCAAGTGTGTTATTCACATGCAGACTGAAGGTGAAGATCTCACATGACCTGCTCTAATCACAGAAAACACTGTACAGCTGCGGCACATTTGCACACGAAGAGTCAGTGTAAAAACGCCATCTGATGCATGCAATTACATACACTGAAAAAATGATTTCTGCCACGTTTTCCAGTACCAACATCTAAACATTCATAATCAAGACACTTTACTTGAGATGCTAAATGACTTAAGATATTGTCTTGCTTTCTAAAAAAATGTATCAAAATTAAGTGTAAAAATGTAAAATATTTCTACTGGAAAAAGACAACGATACTAAGAGATGAAATCATTTATTTGCAGTGTAACACTGCATCTATTTACAGTAAGGCACTCATTATTTTAGCTCAAAAATGTCTGCTTTCTATGCAAATTATGCTCATTGTACAGTAGATTACACCTTAATGTGTTTAAAACAGACATTTGTGTATTTATTAGAGATCACAGAAGCATTATCAAATGATGATGAAATCATGTAGAAGAGTGTCACAACCAGAGGAACTTGTTTGGAAACAATCATTATTTGATCAGGTCTGTTGTGCAGTGGTTACACACGGCGGCTTTAAAGCAATGCAATGTTTGCTGCGGTTCTGGCTTTTATTGTGTCCATCGTGAGAGTCCACAGCCTACCACAGATTGATCTGCTGCAAATTAAAAGCAATGAAAATGTTCTGGTCATCTCATTTGTGAAACGAAATCCAAACGAACTAAATTAAGTGTGCATTGACTTTCCACATGATCACACACACACACACGTACGTATAATCAAAACAAGTACACAAACATACGTGAACTGTGAGTGTACGGTGTGAACGATGCAGCATGAATGATCTAGAAACAGACCGAACACATGCAGTGATCATCATCTCTGACAGATCTGACTACTCATATCATTTGAAATTAACTGAAAGACTTTAATTTGTATCGGAAGAATCTGTAATATGTGACATGCATGTGCAGTGTGTTCATACACTGCCAAAATCAATTTCTTTCTCTGTATTTTTATCTTATTTTCCATTGCAAATATCTAAACATTCTTACATCAAGATGCATTTACTGGAGAAGCAAAATGACTGAAGATATCAAGTCTTGTTTTCTGAAAAATGGATCAAAATAAAGTGAGTTTATGCTTAAATTTTAGACCAATATCTGGCAATGGAGTCAGAAAAATCAACAAATCAAAGAGAAAACAGGTTTATTTTTCTTAATCCACCGGTAGATATTTTTTCTTGTTTTTAGCAAAAACTCACATTATTTTAATACATTTTTTAGGGACTTTTTATATATTTTCAGGCTTAAAATCAATCATTTTTTCTTATAAAGTAAATGTTAATTTAAAAGGTAATTTAATAATTTTTTGATACTTGTACTGAAATATATATATATATTTTTTTTTAATAATTAAAAATTACTACCACTACTACTACTAATAATAAAAGTATTGGTAATTTTCTGCCAGGACATTATCCATAAATTTTATGGACATTTCTGTTAACTCTATAACACAACACAATGCTGTGCAAAATTCAAAATACAGGTAAAACACCTGTAAAAAAAATCAATATGGGAAATATTAATGCCATACATTACAGTACAGTACATTTTTTCGGATTTTGAGTATTTTTTTTTTCAATGCACGCACTCGTCATTTATTGCTGCTTTAAAATAGTCTTTGTGTCCGAATGTGTTTGAAATTCTAGTCTACTTCCTGAATTTGAATTGAATTAAACAGGCAGCATACACCAAGTTTTGCTTTCTGAAAAATACATCAAAATTATGCAAATTTATACTTTTACAAGAATTTATAAGAATTTATACAATTACAAGAAAAATATCTACCAATGGAGTCAGAAAAAAAAAATTGTTTTCCTTTTGAATTGAGATGATTTTTCTGATATTTGTTGTTGTTTAAAGCATAAACTAATTTTTTCAGACAATAAAACTTCATATGTTTAGTCATTTTGCTTCTCAAGTAAATGTGTCTTGATTTATGAATGTTTAGATATTTGTACTGGAAAACAAGACAAAAATACAGAGGAACAACATTTTTTACAGCATCACACACATTTTAATGTAGTTGATATGATATTTCTCTTTGACTGTAACTGAACGTCTCTCTGATCGCAGCTTATCCAGTTTGGAAAGACAAATGTTGACTGTCATGTAGTTAAACGTCTGATTATTGTATGAAGTGTGCATATGTGTATTTATGACTCAGTCTAAAAGCAAAAATGCACTTTACGGGCTCAAGTTGTTTTGATGATTCCAGAACGCTGTATAAATGTGTGCTGTGTGGCGGAAATATATGATCCAGACACAAACACACACATTCCTCACATCCAAACACAGTATTCAGGTTAAGACTTAAAAAGCTTTCTGGAGCGTGTGAGCATCGAGTCGAGGCTTAAACAGACGCTGATTTACCACAACCCTAAACCTGCCTGCAGCACATCTACCGCGGTAAAGCACTGTGACGCGGCTCCTATTTCTCAGAAAACCCTCGTGTTTTAAAACATCAAACCTCAAAAATTATAATAACAAAACACACACAGACCACAAAACCCGTATGCAGCTATAAACAGAAGAAACTAATGATCAGAAAACATTTATTTTACACTCTAGAGAGGGTTTCTGCAATGCTGACTCACATTATGATAGAAACATCTCCAACAAAGATCATATGTGACCATGGACCACAAAACCAGTCATAATGGTAAATTTTTTTAAATTGGGATTTATATATAATCTGAAAGCTGAATAAATAAGCTTTCCATTGATGTATGGTTTGTTAGGATCGGACAATATTTGAAAATCTGGAATCTGAGGGTGCAAAAAAATCTAAATATTGAGAAAATCATCTTTAAAGTTGTTCAAATGAAGTTCTTAGCAATGCATATTACTAATCAAAAATTAAGTTTTGATATATTTACGGTAGGAAATTTACAAAATATCTTCATGGAACATGATCTTTACTTAATATCCTAATGATTTGTGGCAAAAAAGAAAAATGGATAATTTTGACCCATACAATGTATTGTTGGCTATTGCTACAAATATACCCCAGCGACTTAACACTGCTTTTGTGCTCCAGGGTCACATATAACGTAATATAAATATCATTTTAGCTGGATATTTTGGGTTCAATAGTTAAGCTCAACCATCAGCATTTACTGTCCGTTTCCACAGAAAACTCAACTTTGGGTTTAGCAGCTTTACACGGTCATGACTGAGAGTTTGGATATGTTTGGATATGTAACTGTTACTGTAAATGTGATTTTTGCTTGTTTTCAAAAGCTGGAATTATTTTCTGTGGTAATCAACATCATGACACAGATGCCGCTCACAGAGCTTAACTCATATTCAGTCCAGAACGCTCCTTTAATATCCACACTGGATACTTTTGAGCCCTAGCAACCAGCCAGCACACCCCAGCAACACCCTAGCAACTGCATAGCAACCAACAACACCCTAGGAACAAACAACTCCCTCGGAACCATGCAGAACACCCCAGCAACACGCTAGCAACAACATAGCAAACACCTAGCAACCAGCAACACCCTAGGAACCACCCAGAACAACCTACCAACAGCATAGCAACCACCAAGCAACCTAGGAACCACCCAAAACACCCCAGCAATATCCTAGCAACTGCATAACAACCATAATAACCAGCAGCACTGTAGGAACCACCCAGCAACAGCATAGCAACCACCCAGCAACAACATAGCAACCACCGAGCAACCAGCAACACCCTATAAACCACCAAGAACATCCTAGCAATACCATAGCATATAGCAACACCCTAGAAACAGCCCAGAAAACTGCAAAAAACCCTAGCAATAGCATAGCAACCACCTAGTATCCAGTAACACTGTAAAAACAACCCAGAACACCCCAGCAACTGTATAGCAACCACTTAGCAACCAGCAACACCCTAGGAACAAACAACTCCCTCGGAATCATGCAGAACACCCTAGCAACAACATAGCAAACACCTAGCAACCAGCAACACCCTAGGAACTAGGGATGCACCGATACCACTTTTTCCAGTACTCGCCCGATACCGATAGTGTGGTATCGGCGTTTGGTATCGGGGCATTTTAACGAGTACGAGTACGAGTACAGGAGCTCAGTATCGGGCCCGATACCGATACCAGTATCGGTATCGGTGCATCCCTACTAGGAACCACCCAGAACCCCCTACTAACTGCATAGCAACCACCAAGCAACCTAGGAACCACCTAGAACACCTCAGCAACACCCTAGAAACTGCATAACAACCACCTAGTAACCAGCAACACTGCAGAAACCACCCAGCAACAGCATAGCAACCACTTAGCAACCGGCAACACCCTAAGAACCATCCAGAACACCACAACAACCAACAACTCCCTAGGAACCACCCAGAACTCCCCAGCAACAGCGTAGCAACCACCTAGCAACCGGCAACACCCTATAAACCACCAAGAACACCCCAGCAACAGCATAGCAACCACCTAGTACCCATCAACACTACAGAAACCACCCAGAACATCCTAGCAATACCATAGAATATAGCAACACCCTAGAAACAGTCCAGAACACTGCAAAAAAAAAACTAGCAATAGCATAGCAACCACCTAGTATCCAGGAGCACTGTAGAAACCACTAAGAACACCCTAGCAATACGCTAGCAACCAGCAACCCAGTAGAAACAACATAGAATACCCCAGTATAGCAA